ACAAATGGAAATTTCCTTAATAGATAAAGATTTCCTTTACAAAGAGTTTCAAAATAGCCAGGTAAATATCAGAAAGTTATATTTTGGAGACTGATTTAGTAAGAATGGTGGCCTTATTCATTTAGCATCTTTCTTAATTCAATTACTGACTTCAGGGTAGAGCCTTTTAGTGTAAAGGGTAAAGAAAGTATCTGCAGTTTTCAGGGCCTAATATGTAAATACATGAAAAGCAGGCACAACCAGAAGGCAGAGCATCGAGATATTTCAGAATCAAAAATTCAATTTTTATACCAAATTCTGAGTCCCCCAAAAGAGGGAAACACCATGCAACAGGGCTGCAGGACATCCTGCAGTGCTCCTCACTACGAAGACATCCCCCCAACGCCAATCAGCCCACTGTGATCAGCCCATTCCCCATGGCATTCTCATTCCTTGATGGCAAGTTTTCCCACAGCCTCCACATATTCAAACAACACCTTTGTTATCTAATCATGCAAAGAAACAAGGAGCCCCCTACCAGTGACTTACTTGCCAGCCATCAGACCCATCAAAGTCAGGTTCTCTCTCACAGTACAAAGTAATCCCTCATACCCTCAAAGCCAAAGATTCGTCTGAGGGGAACCTGCCCATGACTCTTGAGACTCCACAAAGGAGAGAGAGGACCCCAAGAGGAGGTGTATATGTGGGCCGGGGGCACCTTTTTCTGTGTTCCTCAAGGGTTATCAGGCTGCTCCCCTAGATTTTTTTTTTTTTTCTGAGACGGAGTCTCACTCTGTCTCCTAGGCTGGAGTACAGTGGCACGATCTCGGCTCACTGCAACTTCTGCCTCCCGGGTTCAAGCAATTCTCCTGCCTCAGCCTCCTCTGTTGGTAAGATTATAGGAGCACATCACCACACCAGGCTAGTTTCTGTTCTGGTTTTTTTTTTTTTTTTTGAGACAGAGAGTTTTGCTCTGTCGCCCAGGCTGGAGTGCAGTGGCACAATCTTGGCTCATGCAACCTCTACCTCCTGGATTCAAGCAATTCTCCTGCCTCAGCTTCCCGAGTAGCTGGGATTACAGGTGCCCACCACCACGCCCAGCTAATTTTTTGTATTTTTAGTAGAGATGGGATTTCACCATGTTAGCCAGGCTGGTCTTGAACCCCTGACCTCAGGTGATCCACCCACCTCAGCCTCCCAAAGTGCTGGGATTACAGGCATGAGCCACCATGCCCAACCTGTATTTTTTTTTTTTTTTTGGAAAGACGAGGTTTCAGCATGTTGATCAGGCTGGTTTCCTAGATTTTGTGATGTGGTTTTAAAAATGGCAAAAGTGAAGAGGAGTAGAAGTAGAAGGAAATAGAAGAGCAAGTCTACAGTAGCCAATTTGGGGAGGTTTTAAGCTTTCTAAAAGGCCAGTGAAGTTTTACATTCTTATTAGTAGAATCGTGTTAACAGGAAAGCAAGCAAACCCAGGGACCAAACGTATTTTATGAAGGATTTCAGTTGACTGAAAAAAAGTCTCGGAAACAGGACCCAAAACAGAAAAAGCAGAGAGGCTTTTTTTCCAAAAAAAAAATTATAGCCTAAATAATCAGCTTTTAATTAAGTTGACTTCTAACCACAGAACTTAAAAAATTTTTTTCAAATCTCTTTTCAGATTTCAGCCAGCACAGAGAGTAGTTCTCCTTCAATCTGTCTGGTTCTAAAACCAGCTTTTTCCAATTGTGCACACACATGAGTTATTTTAAGCATTTCAAAGGACCCTCATTTCAGCCATTGCTATTTATGACCATCCTGAGTCATGTGGGTCCGTTTTCCTGGATTTAACAAGAGGACACCCTGTAAGTATTGTACATAAAACCAGCTGGTGTTTCTAAAGGAACTGTCCCTTAAAAGAGCACTCCAATTTTGAAGCTTGAATACCTATAATTTAGGAACTTTTCAAAAGTGACCAAGGTCAGAAATGCATTTTGCATTGAAGTGTACTGCTTCTGAGTGTCACTCCTCAGGTGTCATCCAAGAGTCAAGAATCTCTCTGTTATGTGTCTCAGACTGCCTCTAACTGCCAGGCGGCAGTAGGGTGCTCAAGGTATTGGGGTAACCAACTCCTTAATTTTTAACCTTTCCTGATGAATTAGATTCCCTAAAATGCTCTTCTGGTGAAAAATGCCCTATGAGGCTGCTTCACATCCCAGACAATAGTCTGACACCACTGTCCAGTCTCTAGCCACTCAGGACACCCGAATGCGTCAAAGGGAGCAGTTACCTCTTCTCTTGGAGGCAAGAAAACTTAGGCTTATGCACTTTTCAGTCTGAAACTAACAGAAATTGGTCACAAGTGAAAATACAAGTCTAAATTACAAGGAATAGATAGCAGCTGCAATTTTATTTTATTTTACTTTATTTACTGATTGATTGAGATGGGCTCCCACTCTGGACCCCAGGCTGGGGTATAGTAGTACCATCATAGTTCACTGCAGCCTTGAACTCCTGGGTTTAGGCAATCCTAATGCCTCAGCCTCCCAAGTAGCTGGGACTACAGGTGAGTGCCACTGCATCTGGCTAATTTTTAAATTTTTTGTAAAGATGCCACCATACCCAGCCAACAGCTGCAATTTTTAAAGCATGCTATGTAATTTTAGGCCCAAACAAGTGTAACTGCTGGTACCAGACTGCCCATACCATAACCTGAACTTCCTGCCCTGAGGTAGAGGCAGAGAAGGCAGTTCTTTGCAGAGCTCTTTACCCAAATCTCACATTCAGACACAGAGACCAAAGCCCTCACTTTTAGAGGAAAGAGAGGGTTTGATTTTTTTCTTTGTTTTTAGAGACAGCGGCAGCCTATCTGGAGCAGCTGCTGTGAAGATGCTGGCTACAGTGGGGAAGAACAGCCAGGGCTGCATGTTCCATGGAGCCAACAGGAGCTGAGAACAGGCAGGAGCCCTGCTCACTTCCAAGTTGGCAGGGCAGGAACCCTGTGCTCCCTGAGCATAGCTGCAGCTCTGCATCTCCAGACCCAAGTATCCTATGCTCCTGGGGAAGCCCCTGCTGGCCCCACAGGCTCAGAAATGCCTGCTCTCACTCCCTGGCCTCCCTCTGTACTCTGTGCCCACTCAGTTGCAGAAGCAAAGTTGTGGCCAAGCCTAGATGCTGTCGTGAACCAGCTGGGTGTGTGTGCACTTGGGACAGTGCTGACATGCCACCCTGGCCTCCTCTGGACTTTGGGCACTGATGAGTGTGGGAGGGGTGCTGAGGGCGGCCTGGTGTGGGCCTGCAGGTCCCCCTTGCAATGCACAGCCTGGGTGCCTTGGATGGCATGTTGATGGCAGGAGGTAGGTTCCTGGGCAGAAAGGGAAAGGTCCCTGCTCACCTTTAAGCCAGGGATGGCCTGAAGCCTGGGGGCTGGGCTGCCAGTTCCAGGTGGAGGCCACGCCTAAAGTGAGAGATTATGGTGCTTTTTCTGAGCCCATCCATGATCACCTATGGGCCAATCATCATGCACTTCCTTCCTTCTGAGCCCATAAAAACCCTGGACTCAAACAGACGTCAGGATAGCCTGCCTCAAATAGGAACTACCCGCTCTGGGTCTCCTCTCTCCTAAGAGCTGGACACTCATCGAGACAACCTGGCTGGAGAAAGGAGCTACCCACCTTGGGTATCCTGGGAGCTGTTCTGTCACTCAGTGAGGCCTCTCTCTGCTTTGCTCACCCTCCAGTTGTCTGTATACCTTATTCTTCCTGTATGTGCGACAAGAACTCAGGAACCGCTGAATGATGGCACTGAAAGAGCTGTAACACAAATAGGGCTGAAACATGCACCCCGCTTGCCACGCTGTGGGCAATGAGAAGGGGAAAAGAGCTGTGGCCTTTCAGGGAGCCCAGACCTAGGGGATCTCCAAGCCAGGGCTGTGACACCCTCTTTGGGGCTCTGTGGTTCCTGTCATCTCCAAGCTTCTGGCTGCCACTACATTCTCCTTGTCCAGATGTTGGTGCCTGCAGCAGAAGCTGCGTGTGATACAACTGGTCCAGCCACAGCCTCACATGAAGCTGGCACATGTGCCAGAGCCTGGAGCTGCCTGCCCTGCTGTAGCAGCCAGCATTCCTGGCTGTGCACAGTGGCCTCACCTTGTACTCGCACACCCACAAACCTCTCACCACTCCGTGCCTGGCGCGCCTTTGGTAAGTGTGGGATCCAGGCCAGTAGCGTAAGCCGAGTACAGCCTGAGAGGCTGAGTGGGCAGAATGAGCCCAGCAGGTGCAAGCAACACTCAGGCAGAATGTACGGCCAGCACAGAGGTTTCTGGTTGGCAAAGCAACACCCCAGGGATTCCATGACAACAGGAATCTCACTCACTTGGCCAGGCTAGAGTGCAATAATGTGATCATAGCTCACTGCAAGCTCAAATTCCTGGGCTCAAGCAATCCTCTGGCCTTAGCCTCCTGAGTAGCTGGAATTACAGGTACATGGCAACATGCTTGGCTAATTTTTAAATTTTTTGTAGGAACGGGGTATTACTCTGTTGCCCAGACTGGTCTTGAACTCCTGGCCTCAAGCTATCCTCCTGCCGCAGCCTCCCAAAATGTTGGGATTATAGAAGTGAGCCACTATGCCCAGCTGTGAAAGGAGCATTTGAAAAACACAGCCCAAATAAAATCTAGACCCCAGCTGAAAAGGAAAGGGAGACCCAGATTCAGGACTGAAACTTTTGTGGCCACTGAACCTTCTGGAGCTGGAAGAATACAGTGGGTTTATGCTGGTACCAACCACTGAATCAGAGAAGGAATGCCAGTTAGTCAGCAGGCTGCCATTTTAAAGCCTGCTGACTTACACCAGATATGTCAACCTAAAAGAAAATACTTATGCAAAATTAATGTAAGTAGGAAGTGTGTTTGAGCCAGTTTAAGGACTACAACCCAGAAGCATTGATTCAAGTTGCCCTGAATAGTCTCTGATTAGCAGCAGTTACAAGTTGGTTTTTATTTTAATTTAATTTAAATTTTTTTTTTTTTTTGAGACAGAGTCTTTCTCAGTCATTCAGGCTGGAGTACAATGGCGCGATCTTGGCTCACCGCAACCTCAGCCTTTCGGGTTCAAGCAATTCTCCTGCATCAGCCTCCCGACCAGCTGGGATTACAGGCACCTGCCATCATGCCCAGGTAATTTTTGTATTTTTGTAGAAACAGGGTTTCACCATGTGGGCCAGGCTGGTGTTGAACTCAGGTGATCTGCCCACCTCGGCCTCCCAAAGTGCTGGGATTACAGGCATGAGTCACTGCTACCAGCCTTTGTTTATGTTTTTTTGAGACAGAGTCTCGCTCAGTTACCCAAGCTGGAGTACAATGGCACGATCTCAGCTCACTGCAACCTCTGCCTTCCAGGTTCCAGCAATTCTCCTGCCTCAGCCTCCCGAGTAGCTGGGATTACAGGTGCATGCTACCATGCCTAATTTTTTGTTTTTGTTTTTGTTTTTTGAAACAGAGTTTCGCTCTTGTTACCCAGGCTGGAGTGCAATGGCGCAATCTCGGCTCACTGCAACCTCCGCCTCCTGGGTTCAGGCAATTCTCCTGCCTCAGTCTCCTGAGTAGCTGGGATTACAGGCACGTGCCACCATGCCCAGCTAATTTTTTGTATTTTTAGCAGAGACGGGGTTTCACCATGTTGACCAGGATGGTCTCGATCTCTTGACCTCGTGATCCACCCGCCTCAGCCTCCCAAAGTGCTGGGATTATAGGCGTGAGCCACCGCGCCCGGCCTAATTTTTGTATTTTTAATAGAAACGGAGTTTCACCATGTTGGCCAGCCTCGTCTGGATCTCCTGACCTCCAGTGATCCACCCGCCTTGGCCTCCCAAATTGCTAGTATTACAGGCATGAGCCACTGTACTGGGCACAAGTCAGTTTTTAAAGGAAAAAAGAAAGAGGCAGTTTCTAAATTATTTACCCATAATTTACATTAAGATAACATAAATTTTTGATTGGCTTGTTCCTTGCATTACATTGTTCCTTGTATAACAAATTCTAAGAACATAAAGATGATGGGGAGGCAGCTGGTGAGGAAACTACAGAGAAGAAAAGAAAGAATAAAATGCTCTTTAAATAGTTGCCCCTGGGCACGTTGGGCAGGACTGTTACTGAGGTTCCATCCTCCTGTCTCTCTTCGCCTGTTAGATGTTGCACACCACAGCTAGCTCAGTGTTCTGACCCATTTTTCTTTTCTCAGTTTAAACATAGAAGTAGCCAAATTGAATAATTCTGTACTTCCAAACTACATCATTCTTCTTCTCCTCTACCAGTCTCAGCCTCTCAGAATAAGAAATGAAGAAGGGCTGGGTGTGGTGGCTCTTGCCTATAATCCTAGCACTTTGGGGGCCCAAGGCAGGAGGATCACTGGAGGCCATGAGTTCAAGAGCAGTCTGGGCAACACAGTGAGACCCCATCTCTAAAAAAATATATATATATATTTTTAATTAGCTGGATGTGGTGGTGCATGAGGCTGAAGTGGGAGAATTGCTTGAGCCCAGGAATTCTAGGCTGCATGCAGTAAGCTACCGCATCACTGCACTGCAGCCTCAGTGACAGAGTGAGACCAGGAGTAAGCTATGATCACATCACTGCCCTGCAGCCTCAGTGACAGAGTGAGACCAGGTCTTAAAAAAAAAAAAGGCAGTTGTGGGGGAATGCAGGGATGTAGACATCCACAGTAACTTTAGAAATTAAAAAGATACCCAGGCACTGTGGCTCACGCCTGCAGTCCCAGCTACTCGGGAGGCTGAGGCATTAGAATCACTTGAACCCAAAAGGTGGAGGTTGCGTGAGCCGAGATAGTGCCATTGCACTCCAGATGGCAAAAAGAGCACTCTCTCTCTCTCTCTCTCTCTCTCTCTCTCTATATATATATATATATTTAAATAATATATCTCTAAATATATATATATTTAAATAATATATCTCTAAAACTAAAATCCCCTTTTTTATAATTTATTGCTTCTTAGGACAAAACCCTCAACTTTACAGTTGGGTGATTTTAGCATATTTACTTGTTCACAACCAATTGTGAGAATTTAGCCCCCATACATCAAAAGCCGTTCGAATAGCTGGATTGGTGTTTTCCTATTTTTCTTTCTCTTAATTCTCCAAGGCAGTCACATTTCTGAACACAGATTCTGCAGGCGTCATTCCAGTAGCAGCCCTTCTGGAGCTGAGCTTCTTGGACATTTGAGAGTCAATCTCCAAGACAGGTTATATTCAGTTTCCTATGAATATTGAGGAGTACTAGAATGTGCCACCCGAAAATATGCCTATTTGGCATATGGCTTATTTTGAGCTAAAGGCCGCTAAGAACCAGAAGACCAGGAAATTACATTTAGAAAGTCAATTTACATTTAGAAATGGCACTTCCCTCTGGTGCCAGAAGGAAGAGTACCCTTAACAACTCCTATCCATGGAGTAGTCATTTCCATCTGTATAACAAACCTTGTAAACAACCCTTGTTTATCATACTTTTCCTGGTTACCTACCCCTAATGTGCCTCCCCCATGCAGAAGCCTAAAAGTCTTTTTTCCTTGTTTAAGCCTAAGATGATAGAAAGCCAACTTCTAACCACCTAATGTAGTCAATCAATTCTGAGTATGCCCAGATGTAAGCATCAGGCATGTGCTAATAAACATCTGTTTAATTTTGTCTTGTTAATCTGTCTTTGGCCGGCCTAATTTATGTGGCACCAGCTAGAGAACTTAAGATGAGTAAAAGAGGAGTTTTTTCCTCCCCTACACTATCTACTTCTGCATTGGATATGGACCCACATATATACCTGAATGCAATCTTCTAAACCACCTGGCATTCAAAGGTGACATTGTCACCTACCAACCCTCACATCCAGTAAACTCATTGCTTTAGATTGAATTCTAGATCATTCCATACTGAAAGAAAAATAAAAACTAGGGACCTCCAATTCATTATGCCAACAGGGAAAAGTTAAGCTTGAAAACGGAATCACAAAAAAACTGCCTTTCCTTTTGCTCCAAACTGATAGGTACAGATAAAAGGCCACAGGTCTCCACAGGGGACCTCCTACCCCAACCCTAACAATAGAAATTAACAGCTTGTCTTCATGGGTGCAGGACAAGAGGAGATTAGAAATCATCCCTCCCCCAGCAAATGCATATTTGACTGTTTCGTCTACTCTATGTTTACCTTTTTTTTTTTTTTTTTTTTTGAGACAAGGTCTTGCTCTTTCTCCCAGGCCAGAGTGCAGTAGTGCAATCTCAGCTCACTGCAACCTCTGCCTCCCAGGTTCAAGCGATTCTCCTGCCTCAGCCTCCTGAGTAGCTGGAATTACAGGTACATGCCAGCATGCCTGGCTAATTTTTGTATTTTTAGTAGAGACGGGGTTTTGCCATGTTGGCCAGGCTGGTCTCAAACTCAGGTGATCCACGGGCCTCTGCCTCCCGAAGTGCTGGGATTACAAGCATGAGCCACCACACCTGGCCTACTTTTCTTATGTAAAGTACAGATTTACTGATCATGAGATGAATACATAATTGACTGATTCCTCTACCCTCTCCTTTTCATGGGCAATATGTTGATTCACAAGAATATCACCATACCCTCCCTCTTTTTTTCCCCCTTTTCCCTCCTGCCTACTTTTCCCCTTTAAATGTTAAAGCCCTCAAAATCCTCTTTGGGGCTAGGCACAGTGGCTCATGCCTGTAATCTCAGCATTTTGGGAGGCCAATGTAGGCAGATCACCTGAGGTCAGGAGTTGGATCCCAGCCTGGCCAATATGGCAAAACCCCATCTCTACTAAAAATACAAAAATTAGCTGGACATGGTGGTACCCGCCTGTAATCCTAGCTACCTGGGAGACTGAGGCAGGACAATTGTTTGAACTGAAAAGGCAGAGGTTGAACCCAGAAGGACAGAGGTTGCAGTAAGCCAAGATCACACCATTACACTCCAGCCTGGGTGACAGAATGAGAATCCATTTCAAATAAACAAACAAACAAATAAATCTCCCTCCCTCTTCGGAAAAAGAATGGGCTGCAGAGCCTACTGTGGCTTGTGTTTCTTATTCCTGGGTGTGTCCTCAACCTCAGCAAAACAAACCTCTAAACTGATTGAGACCTATCTCAGAAACTTTTGGGTTTATACCACCAATAGACAGTTCTAAATATTTTCCCCATTAACATCTAGTTTTGAATGTTGAGGCAAGTTTTCTAGTAAAATTAACACTAGAAGAAGTGTTATACTTCTTTAGATGATTCTATCTTGTTTTGTATCCAAATCTTGAACCTCAATATTATTAAAAAGTGAATTTTCTGGCTGGGCATTGTGGTTTACACCTATAATCCCAGCACTTTGGTAGGCCAAGGTGAAGGATTGCTTAAAGCCAGGGGCTCAAGACCACCATGGGCAACTCAGCAAGACCACATCTCCACTAAAAATAGAAAAAAATATTACCTGGGTGTGATGGTGTCCACCTGTAGTCCTCGCTACTCAGGAGGCTGACGTGGAAGGATCTCTTGAGCCTAGGAGATTGAGGCTGCAATGAGCTGCGTTGACACCACTGCACTATTGCCTGGGTGAGAGAATGAGACTCTCTCAACAATAAAAGTGAATTTTCTTAACATCATGATAATAAAATAACAAATATGCTTTTCACTCCAGCAAACACCCAACACCCTGACCGATTTAATATAATATAATTAATGTAATATAATATAATATAATGTCTGAAGAACTTGAGTGGTTTTCCCTCTTCTTTACATCTCATTGTACATTTACCAAGCTCTCTTTGGGCCCTCAAAAATAACATTCTTGAGGTTTATTTCATCTGTGAGATCCTGTAATAGTTATACTAAATGGTGGGTGATTCATTTGTTTGTTTTTTTAATTTTCTAACTCACCTGTAAAAGAAGCCACCACTCAGCTGGGTACAGTGGTGTGCACCTGTAGTCCAAGCTATTGGGAGGCTAAGGCAGGAGGACCCCTTGAAGCCAAAAGTTTGAGACTGCAGTTCCTATGATCATGTCTTTGAATAGCCATTGCATTTCTGCATTCCAGCCTAGGCAACATAGCAAAACCCTGTCTCAAAACAAACAAACAAACAAAAAAAGAAAGAATCCCCTAACTCCTAATGAATGGGCAATAAGTAGGTGGTGCATGGGATTGTGCTCTTGTTTCTTGCCCCTGCTTATTGGGCCAGAAACCTGATCTGAGAGAGGCCAACTAGTCAATCTACAGATATTGATTATGATATTGCACTGAGACCATGGTACAGTTGGAACCAAGAGCAAGATGACAAAGCAGAGGATAACCAGTTGGCTGGTTATCCAGAGAAAAGAATGCAGTAACAGAGGTAGAGAGAAAATTGTTTGTTCCAAGAACTTTATACTTACTATCTCTTTCTGGGAGATGGCAATGCTATGGATATACCTGCACAGAAACAAGACTTTCAAAGGCACCATAGATTTCCATAAACAGTGTACAGCAATTTATCCTATGATTTATGTAAGAAAATGTTCAAAGAAAACGTTAGCTACAAGGTGTTTTTTTTGCTATGTGTTATCTATAATACAAAAAATTAAATATGATAAATCTAAGAAAAATTCTTTAAATAAGTTATGCTATATCCATCTAATGGATTTTTTTTTTTTTTTTTAGACAGAGTCTTCCTCTGTCACTCAGGTTGGAGTGCAGTGATGCAATCTCAGCTCACTGCAATCTCCACCTCCCAGGTTTAAGTTATTCTCATGTCTCAGCTGGGATTACAGGTACACACCACTACACCAGCTAATTTTTTGCATTTTTAGTAGAGATGGCATTTTGCTGTGTTCACCAGGCTCTGGAGTAGCTGGGATTACAGGCACAAGCTGCCATGCCTGGCTCAAATACTAGATCTTATTCATTCTGCTCAACTATATTTTTGTTCCTGTTAACCATCCCCATTCCACCTAACCCACCCCACTCACGCTATTCTCCCCAGCCTCTGGTAACCATTCTTCTATTCTCTATCTCATTTAGTTCAATCGTTTTAATTTTTAGTACCCACAAATAAGTGGGAACATGTGAAGTTTGTCTTTCTGTGTCTGGATTATTTTCTTTAACATAATGACCCCCAGTTCTGGCTGTGTTGTTGGAAATGACAAAATCTCATTCATTTTATGGCTGAATAGTAAGTACTTCGTGTATATGTAGCACATTTTCTTTTCTTTCTTTTTTTTTTTTTTTTTGAGACGGAGTTTCGCTCTTGCTATCCAGGCTGGAGTGCAATGGTGCGATCTCGGCTCACCGCAACCTCCGCCTCCTGGGTTCAGGCAATTCTCCTGCCTCAGCCTCCTGAGTGGCTGGGATTACAGGCATGTGCCACCATGCCCAGCTCCTGCCTCAGCCTCCTGAGTAGCTGGGATTACAGGCATGTGCCACCATGCCCAACTAATTTTTTGTTATTTGTAGTAGAGACAGGGTTTCACCATGTTGACCAGGATGGTCTTGATCTCTTGACTGCATGATCCACCCGCCTCAGCCTCCCAAAATGCTGGGATTACAGGCTTGAGCCACCGCGCCTGGCCTCTTTTCTTTTTTTTTTTTTTTTTTTTTTTTTGTAAGAGATGGGATTTCACCTTGTTAGCCAGGATGGTCTTGATCTCCTGATCTCATTATCCACCCGCCTTGGCCTCCCAAAGTGCTGGGATTATAGGTGTCAGCCACTGCTCCCGGCTAGCACATTTTCTTTATCCATTCCTCTGTTGATGGACAGTTAGCATGCTTCTAAGTCTTGGCTATTGAGAATAGTACTGCAATAAATGTGGGAGTATAGATATCTCTTTGAAATGTTGATTTCCTTTCTTTTGGGTATATACCTAGCAATAGAATTGCTGGATCATATGGTAGTTCTATTTTTAGATTTTGAGGAACCTCCAAACTGTTCTCCATAGTGATGATACTAATTAACATCCCCACCAACAGTGTAGGAGGAATCCCTTTACTCTACATCCTCACCAGTATTCATTATTGTCTTTTGGATAAAAGCCACTTTTTAAACTGAGATGAGATGATATCTCATTGTAGTTTTGGTTTCCATTTCTCTGATGATCAGTGATGTTGAGCACCTTTTCATATGCCTGTTTGCCATTTGTATGTCTTCTTTTGGGAAATGTTACTCACATATTTGAGATATTTTAAAATCAAATTCTTAGATTTCTTTCCTATAGAGTTGTTTGAGCTCCTTATCTATTCTGGTTATTAACCCCTTGTCAAATGGATAGTTTGCA